CATGTTCGTTAATTTTCCGGAAACTTTCTCGGAAAAGTCAGGGTCACCAGTGTAGTGCCGTGAAAAGAGAGTCGGAGGCGGGTTGTATTAAGAATGGAGTTCCAATCTTTATTATCCATTACTTTCAGAGAGGTTAACACATGCACTGCTCTGCCTGATGAGCTAGCAGGAATGGCAGCTAAAGCTACAGGTGTTCCCCACTAAAGGGTCCGTGTGGCAACACAATAAGCAAGGTGAATTATGTCCAATAACGTGTCACCACAATATGATCATTATAGTTATAAAACAAATAAGAGAATAAAGGAAAAACAGTTATGAAATACTATATGGCAGTAAAACAAGAATACAGTTTGAAAGGGGAGTGATTTGTAAAATATCCATAAAGAAAAAGAACATCTGCTTACAGTTGTGTTTCATCTGGGTGTTGAGAGATGTATCCATAGATCTCTTAATGTTGCTCTCAAAGTGCACCAGATTGATGCTTTTAACTTCAATATTTAAAAAAAATCTTCCCGGGGGAGCATCCCCCCGGACCTCCCTAGAGGAGGTGAGGTCTGCTCCCCACTCGTAAAAAATAGCACTTTACCCTTGCCTATATGCCGTCGCGGGTGTACAACAGTCGCGGGTGTAATGTGTGTTTGCGTGTGGGGATTGCTTTTTTGCGTGCTCCATAGTGCCCGTAATAGTGTTCACTGGAGTCCAGCACCTCAGCACCCCCACTCAAAATACCTTCCCGTTCCCGCGCCTCTGGGTGCAGCGCTTGTCAGCCTTGTGGAACCTGAACGGTTCAGTACCCTGTCGAAACTATGTGGAGTCACAGCTGGGGTTTCACGGGCCGCAGAGACGTGGATGAGCAAATATAATCAGTCCTCGGGTCAAGCAAAGTGGGAGCGAAGGTCTCGGAAGTGAGACAGAAGGAACTGCACAAGACACCTGGCATGTCCTGGAGAGGGCGTCCGTTGAGGATGTGGCTGCCAGGAACGGCACCGAGTGGAAATGGGTCTTCCATCCTGCAGACTCGCCCCACCGAAACGGAGCGGCCGAGGCAGCCGTTCGAATCCTCAAGAGAGCGCTTACCAATCTCGGTGGGACCACCGGCAGCTTCACGTGGGGGAATTCCAAACTCTCCTCTACTCTGCAGCCAACCTGGCCAATGAGCGGCCTATCGACGCCCGAGTTCAGGAGCAGGAAGACGCCGTGGAGTACATCTCTCCGAATTCCCTCATTCTAGGACGTACAGGACAGGAGGAGACCTGGAGGGGATCAGCATGGAAGGGCCGCTCTTGGCACAGGTTAAAGGCTATCCAGGCCGGAGTAGATAAGTTCTGGACAAGCTGGAGTGACTTGGCAGTTCCAAAGCTGTTCCTCCAAATGGCACCGAGCTGCCAGGAATGTCCAGGTGGGAGACCTGGTCTGGATCGCGGACCAGAACACCTTAAGAGGTCAGTTTCGACTAGGCCGAGTTGTAAAAGCCTATCCAGACAGAAGAAGAGTCGTCCGGGATGCTGATATTTGGACCTGTGTGGGCCTTCCTGCCCCCCCTCACTGCTGGATCCCAGAAGAGACGGACAGTCCCAGCCCCAACCACCATCCTCTTCAGGGACGTACCGAGGCTGGTGGTACTGCTCCCCGTGGAAGAGCAGTAGAGGCCAGGGACCTGTCCTGAAAGTTCATCAGGTCTGTGAACGGTTGCAGTGGCCGACCGGTTCCGACTCCGGTTGTTGTGGAGACGGGAGGACCCATTTCGCTTGGCTTGGGTGGGCAGGACGATCCCAAGAAAAACCAAGAAGGTCCCAGACACCCCACTACAAAAGACTCTGTTTTGGGAGTCCAGGGGTGAATTGTGTGTGGTCTCCTTGGATCTAGTGATCGAGAGCCCAAGTGGGAGGTGTGGAGTTAAATTTTGGTTGTTTATTTTCTATTTATTTATTTCAATCAATAAGCATTAAACTACGGAGCCCCTAAAGGGACATGGAAAAAAAAGGTTTGAAATGCTGATAAAAAATATAAAGATGATGAAGAAATCTTTAAATATTTTTTTCTCTACCTGATAAATGAATGTTTCACAAATTATAATAGCTATTAAAAGTAAATAATGCATTAACATCCACTGGTTTGTAATTTGATATGCTTTAACAATGTTGAATAAAATCACATCATTCACTCTGCTTTGGAACATGTGCAGTTCACATAACAATACCACAGTGTTAGCTTTAATTTTTTTATCTAAGTTGTCATGCGCCTTTCCTGTGGTTGCATAACACATTATGATGATGTTGATTCTCAGAGGGAGCCTAAGGTATATTTTGGCAACAAAGCTTACAATGTTGGTCAGCCTTGGCAAAGCACAGGATCGACTGCTGAGAGACATGTGAGACAAAGTCAGGGCAGCTTTTTTCATTTACTTGCACTGCAGGGACAGTAATCTCAGTACAATAGAATATGATGGATATGTCCTTAAGAAACCCAGCCTGGGCCTGACATGGTTATATTACCCCAGGTTGGAGAGTAATCTTTCAGCATTCCTGTGTTTGAGTAGTGTTAGGATTTGTTCAAGTGCAAGTCAACAGTAGGGCAATCATTATAAACTGACTTTGGTTAGCCTTAGGTTGTCTTTTTCTTTGTAAATGTGATGTCTCGGTGTTGTTGTTTTTTGTTTTGTTTCTTTCCGTTAACTGTCGAGTGGGAACAAGTATTTTTTGTAGTAAGTTTTTGTGTTTCTCTTATTATCCTATGATACTGTGTGTGAATAAGAAAATATGAAGGACAGACCATCTATTTCCATCCATTTCCATTTTTTTTAGAAAGGGCAGGTAACATAAGATTATTTTGTTCTCCCTGCTCCTTTTCGGTCAATGGTGTCTTAATAGAGACATGTTTTGTAAACAAGTATTATACATTAAGTTGTGCATACCATGAACGGAACAAATACAAAATAAATGAAATGTTAATGTGACATTTGGTTTATAATTTATGTCTAATCATTTGTTCATACATAAATACAATAAGATTACACTTTATATGCCTTGCTGCAGATAACACACACCAATGTCTATCCAAAATTGTCCAAACAAATTCTCAGAACATTAGGCAGTACTCCCCTTGGTCTGTCTTCTCATAGTTTAAGACAGCGGGGTTCATACTGTATGTTGTAAGGCAGTACAGGCAGTATACAGTAGTATACATAACATGCCTCAAGATTAGGTGGATTTAATGATAACAATGTACCTTTTGTTGTGTTATGAACATCATCTCATCTCTCTCT